CTATTATTATCATTATTATTATTATTATTATCATTATTATTATTTGTATTATTGTTGTTATTACTATTATTATCATTATTATTATTATCATTATTATCATTATTATTATTGTTGTTATTAAAACTAAACAGACAGGGCAAAAAGAAGACTTTATCACAATGACTGTTGGCAGCAAATTGTGAGTGTTTTTATTTCCCTACAGTGTACACAGTGCTGCTTCATCTCCGGGACAAGATGGCCAGTGCTGGGGACTTCTTTATGATGATCCGAACCATGCCCATTGCCTGTTCTTTGTACATACAGGTCGGTGTGTGTATTTGTGTGTGTGTGTGTGTGTGTGTGGATGGGTGTGTGTGTGGGTGTGCACACGCATCAGTATGCTTTAACATCAGTGCATGTGTGTGTGTGCATGTGTTTTTGTCTATGCACTTCTGTGTAATTGTTTGCACACATGAGTGTGTGTGTATGCACGTGTGTGTGTGTGTGTGTGTGTGTGCGTTTGTGTGTGTGTGTGTGTGTGTGTGTGTGCGCACTGAAATATTTCTGGTTCACTGTAGAGTTCACAATTTGACCCAATTCTGAGATAAATGAAAGGCAAAGGAGGAAAGGAACAGTGCATGATCTAGGTATATATATCTATGGCTCAAACAAACTGTGTGTATTTTACTGATGTTCTTGTATTGTATCCTCCCCCCAGAGCGTGGTCTAGGTGTATATATATCTATGGCACAAACAAACTGTGTATTTTACTGATAATTTTGTATTGTATCCTCCCCCCAGTGCGTGGTCTAGGTGTACACGTCTATGGCACAAGCAAACAATACTCCTTCCTTCCTATCAAACACCTATCATCCTTATCTCTCCTCCTTCTTTTTTTGGTGTTTATTACTCTCTTGTAACACCTCTAATCTTCGACACTTATATTAGACCTTATTGTGTTGCAAGTGCTGTAAAACTATTACGAAAATAAAACCCCCAAAAATGTGTATTGCACTGATTCTTGTTTTGTCTTTTATAGTGTGTGGTCTAGGTGTACATATCTATGGCATAAACAAACAAACCAGTGTGTATTGCACTGATTCCTGTATTGCCTTCTCTCCCCCCTCCCCAGTATTGTCGTCAACAGTCTAGTTGTACATGTCTATGGCACGAACAAACAAACAGTATATTATGCACTCATTCTTGTATTGCCTTCCCTCCCCCCAGTATTGTCGCCAACAGAACCTGAAGCTGGTGGAGGATTTGTACTATCAGGAGGATAACTCTCTGGAGGAGGGAAACTGTAAAGTCATACGTAGTTATACACTGGAGGTGAGTGTGTGTTGGGGGGGAGGGGGGAACTGTAAAGTCATACATAGTTATACACTGGAGGTGAGTAGGTGTGGGGGGATGGGGGTGTGAGAGAGAGAGA